TCGGGTTAAGACCAACTCGGGATATGGCCAGAGTGACGGAACGGATTAAGTTCGTATCCCAAGGTACCACTGTACAGGCATAATAAAAATTCTCATCAGTTTAATTTGCCATCTATTACCTGCTAGTTTAATAGTCAGATTAAAAAAAAAAACTGGCTTAATATGCTACATATGCCAAATTTGATATTGGAAATGTTACTGGCTCTCACCATAACCTCAACCAGAAGATCACATCATCAGGCATATTACCCACATAAAATCCTCTCATACCCAGTTTTTTTGGTGATTGTGCCATACAGGTCCAGCTTTTCTTGATGTTACATAAACCAACATGAATGCTTCCAACAGAGAAAGCTTTAAACTGAATTAAGTACATGCACATTTAAAAGAACAGTTCATTTTTCAAGCATTTCTTCCATAAAATATGTGAATGATTAAAACTGGCCTTTGATATAAAGAATAATAAATTAGTTGATTGCCTGATCCCAACATTCATAGGAAAAATTACTCATTTATTTCTCATCCCTTCACTTTACATAAGAAATTTAAGTGGACAAGCATATATGAATCATCTACTACAAGGAATGCAAAGTAATTTTAATATACCAGCTCCTGGTATCAAAGTGTTAATACTTTTGTACCTGTTGGGACTCCAAGGTATTGTGGGGGTCATGCTGACATCTGGAAACAGAATACTATTGTCCTTGATCCTGTCCAAGGCGTAATGCATTTCACAGAGGGGTAAGCGGTTTAACTGAAACTGAAGCTCAACCTATAGTGCATACAAAATGAATGCAAAATGAATGAATGAATGAATGAATGAATGAATGAATGAATGAATGAAATGCCAGAAGACAGGAAATTAAAAGAAGTAGTTATACTGAACTTTTTTCAGTTACGTAACTCACCAATTAAATAAATCTTATTAAGAAAAGTATTCACTAACAGGCTTAAGAAAAGTTTGGACACTGAAAAGCCCAATAAGACATTTTGTAATTCATTTTTAAAAATGTTTTCTTCTGTAAAATCAGTTGTATTAGGTCTTTCATACTTTAATGAATTCTATAAACAACCAGAATCCAGTCTTCTCAATGAAATTATCCAGAAAGTCTATAAAATCATTTATCAAAGTTTGAAACACATAGTATTAATTTTACATTTATTTTCTTGTCCAAAAAGCAGTGATTTAAAATCAAAACTGTGAACAAATTGGTTCTTACAAATTTGTGCATAAAATATGAATCAGTAAGACAATTTTTTTAAAAATGTGAATAATCCCTTCAGAGTTCTGCATAAATCAATTCTATGTATATTGATAGCTCTGTTTTATCAACTATAAGATGCCATAAGATTAACAGATTTATTGTGACACAGCTTTTTGTGGATCAAAACTGCTTTATCACAATGCATTAAAAGTTATCCTACTTGTACATCCATTGGATAGAGAAGAGGGAAAGGCGAAAAGGATATGGCAGGATGTGATTATTATAAATTGCAGGAGGTACCACTTATGATAGTGTTATACAAATATTAAAACGTATTGCATGTGATTATCAAATAGTTTGGATCCAGCTTGCTTCTCTGAAAGGAAAGGATTTATCCAAGACAACCATGATTCAATGGAAATTCCCACTAGATGAACAGTATGGGGCATACATTTTTAACTTCCAATGTCACTCCCCAAACTGCATGAGATTGTAACACTGGGGGTTGCAGGGGAAACCAAGAAAATAGTGTTCTGCCCTATTCCTCCAATGATAAAGAATAGATAAAAGGTGACAATGTGTTGCCTACAAAATGACCCACCTTGTTCCTTCTCTCACATATTCATTGAGTTTTGTTTTCTTTCACAGGCCTACATTTTAAGACTCATGCAAATAATGAATCCCCAAAGCCTGGCACCATATAGCTACATAATTTATTTGTGGGCAAACTTTTTGAAACGTGAATGATAACTAATAATTAACACATTCCTACTTAACCACACAGTTAATACCCCAAACTGATACAATGCAAATAAATTATCTATTGTTAATTAAGGTAAAAACAAACATTACTCTGAAGGAGAAAGACATAAAAATCTCTATTTTATCAACCCATTAGAAAAGTAAAAAATGTTTTAAAAATCAGCAAAACCCCCTGACTGTTTTAAAACCAGCCATTACAAGGCAATGTTACTTCATTTATAACATTTCTATGGTGCTTTTCCCCTTCATGGATCACTGCCTTGTCGTGGCGAAGGGGCTTG